GTGTGTGTGTGTGTGTATTCTCCTTCTTTATTTTCTCTAAATAAATGCAGAGTTCTACACGAAATTGATCATCCTGGGGTGAGAAAATTAGGATTAACTTGACTTGATTCTAATTATTATATTTAAGGCTATCCAACATGGAAATATGATAAGCAAACAAATAAGATCAATAAACACAGCTCTTAAAGATTCTCAAAATGTATTTCATTCATTACTGTAAAATCTATCACAGTCCCACTAAATTAATTACAAAAAGTTACAAATAAAAAAGGTCTGCTATTCCATCTTATTAGAATCGACATAATCAATACGCCACTGGAGTGTTTGTGGTCGTTGAACAATGCGGAAGCACTGAATCGTATCCCCAGGAGCCCATCCATCGAAAACCACAGCATTTTCCAAAGAACTCGACGGTGGTCGATGATAGAGTTCAGCAAGACTTTGAGCCTCTTCTGTAGCACCAGATGAAGTCTTGAGTAAAATAATGCCGAATTCAACATCTCTTCTGACTGAATCAACATTATTGCGCTCGTGACGAAGTGAGAAACAGGGGGCCCGATCGATCAATACCAAGCCTTCACTTGTTACTCGGCCTTCTGGATCTGAGGGTTTTGACTCGACTTTTTTAGCACCTTTCTGATTCTTCTTCTTAGAGGCATCATTCGAGGAAGGTCGTAGAACTCGAAATAGGATAGGTTCTGTACCTATAAAGGAAAAGAACATGCGCCCCTGTTTATGTTCCCAAGATGAGTGAAATAACAAAGCCTATAACAGGGGTGTGCGATAGACTTACCTCCCCGTGGTGTACCGTGGGCAACGTATACTCATACGGCAAAAAGTCTATTAACTGGCAGTTGACTACTGACTTCAAACTACCATGACCCCACTGTATGTCATATTCGACTACTTCCACAATACTCACCTCACCTTTTTTTACCTCTTCTACCTTCGTCTTTGAAACACTTCTCCGCCCCCCCCCCCTCTCGACTTTTTTCACTTTGATGTTCCTTTCCCACTGTGAAGTCTGATGTCAACTAAAGGGCTAATGATGACCATCAAAACGCCTGCCATTTGATATATAAAAATAAAAAAGCCTATAACTGATAGAAGAATGTAGTAAGTAGTAAATTTGGCATGAACAAATGGCTTTGTTTAAAAACACTTTTCGTGTCATTTAAAGTTAGGAAGATAAGGCGATGGCAAAAGCAACTATGTATTTCCTCATCTAAACAATGTTTGGAGAGGTAATAATGTTGGATTTAAAAAACGTCAATATCAATAAAACGATCTGCTTAAAAACTGATATATACAAAGAGCCACAACAACTTGTCGTTTGTAAATAGGGCCTTCTATAAAATGGAGGAAGATTAATAACTGTGCTCACCGTGTTTCGTAGACTTCCCAGAGAGAATATTTCCACGAATGCATCGACATCCACCAACCATCACTTTCTGATGTTTTCCGCGAACAATTGTCACTTCAAAGGTTTGCAGAACAACTCCTTCGCCTAAGATAACAAAGCAGTAAAGTCTAGCCACTGCAAAAAAACATTAACTCGAGTACAATTCAACATACCAATAACTTCTTCCGCATAAACGGGTGGGAGTTTATCAGCAACCAGAGACCTAACATCCTCCGCCAGTCTGTAGATTATATTATGAGAATGCAGAAACATGTTATTTGCATTGAGTATTGATTCCGCATCCGGCAAGGCAGTAGTATTGAACGCAAAAATCTCCGCTAAAACAATACACATCAAGTGCTACTGAATAATAGTAAGTAAGAGGTGATATATTGTATTAGATACTAACCCCCAATTGCAGACGCCAGTTCCACTTCAGCTGGAGTAACAGGGCCAACACCAGAAAATGCAATTTGGATACGACATTGATCTGAGGGACAAGTTGCTAACATGTCTGAAATTGCTTCCAAACTTCCCTCAACATCAGCTTTAATGACCAGAGGCAGGCTCACGAATTCACCTGCATTACCTGAATCTAGCAGTTGTGCTGCTTGGCTTTTCTAAGAGGTACCAGAGAATTTGAAAGGAGATATGCCTTACCCTGAATTCTGCTGCAAAACGCCGGGCCGAATCATGATCCATTTGTTCGCGTTTTTTGAGGTAGGTTTCGTAAGTAACCCGATACTCAGCAGTTCGCTTATCAGAGGCTATTTTATCTGCGACAGACTTCTGTTCAAGTCTTCGTTGACGTCTTGTTCTTATGGCTGCATCGGCTTCAGACTGTAAAAAAATGTGAAAATGCGAAATAAGATCGAACACTAGAACCAATCTCCTTCAACTTTCATGATACAACACTATCAGTGTTTTCCAAAAATCCGCCAAAGGCGATTAAACGGAAAAATTCCATTTCATGAAACTACTTTTGGAACCAAATAATCGTCCATTCGAATAAGAGCCCATGGGTATTAGGAGTGATAGCAGCGAACTTACGCATTGCGTGGATTTTTCGAAAATTTGGTGATCCAGATTCAATACATAAAACTACACATACGGAAAGAAAAAACACGTATATAGAGTTCTCGACCAAAGTTCTTCCAGGATGTGGGACATCAGTAGAAACTTCAAAATCTCACCTTCTCAAGTGGCAAAGATTAGTCTCACATATGTTGAAAGTGTCGTTCTTAATTGCAAGTGTTAGGGAGAAGAATTGGAAAAGATAGAAGAGAAAATTTACTGTGAAAGATACTGCTTTCAACGACAACAGCTTTTCTACTAAGTTTGGATGAAACAAGTATTACCAAAATGGGGTGCGCGATAGACCTACCTCCACGTGGTGCACCCTGGGCAACGTATACTCATACGGCAAAAAGGTCTATAAAACGGCAGTTGACTTCGGACTTCACAAAAAAGTCTATTAACCGGCAGTTGACTTCTGACTACTCAAACGGCAAAAAAGTCTATAAACCGGCAGTTGACTTCTGACTGAAAAGGTCTATTAACTGGCAGTTGACTTCTGACTTCAAATAAAAGTCTATCAATCGGCAGTTGACTTCTCACTTCAAACTAAAGTCTATTACCTGGCAGTTGACTTCAAACTACCATGAGTAAGTCTATTAACTGGCAGTTGACTTCTGAGTTCAAACTATCATGACCCCAAGTCTATTAATCGGCAGTTGACTTCTGACTTCAATTACCATGATCTATTAACTGGCAGTTGACTTCTCTATGTCATATTCGGGTCTATAAAACGGCAGTTGACTTCGGACTTCAAGCTACCATCACCCCCCTGTATGTCATATTACATCACTCCCCAGCACTCATCTTACCTTCTCTCTATCTTTGTCTGTCTGTTTGTCTCTCTTACATCTGTGAATCACTCTTCTGTCCATCCTCTCGGATGTTTCCCACTTTGATGTTTCTCCCCTCTGTGAAACCCGAAGTCAGCTAAAGGGCTAATGATAACTGTCAAAATGCCTGCCATTTTAAATAAACAAAGTATTACCAAAATACAGAAAAATAAGATCTATCTTTGATAATTCAAATATATTTAAGCGGACAAACGTGTGAAGGAGAAGGCTATGTTTTCCAGTGCAGGGGCTGAGCCAAAAAGAGGATTCAAGAGCGTACAATAAAAATCCCACAAAGTAAAAAAACCTCCCAAACGCATGGCATCTCATTTTCCACATTCAATAGAGCGTTTAATTGACATTGAAATGATATTAATAGTCACAAATTATCGATCACTTACATCAGAAGAGACTTCAAGGATTATAGAGCCAACCGATGGGAATGACTTCCATCCAGCAATTGAAGCGGTATAACCGGGAGTTACAGAAGAAACACGAACTCCCCGATCATTTCGAAGAACTCGTGTACAGCCAAGACTTTCTCCTGCAATTAAGGGTCCACTTGCAGAGCCCTGTTTGAGTTCTCCTCTGGTGACAAGACAGTTGACCACTTTCCTTTAAGAAGGAAAGGAATAAAGGGGAACAAATAAAAGATGAAATCAAGGCTGACATTGCCAAAGAAGAAAGACCTAACAATACATCTAATCCCAATCCTAAAAACACTATGAATATGCCTACCTACGGTAATAAATAGGAACATGGGAAAATTGCTATCATAAACCATCTACCTTCAAAAAAGGCTGATTCGACAATTCTACTTCACTTAGTTTAACTAGACCAGTATATATCATCCATGAATTGAGAGATTACACATTAATACGACATACTAGAGATAATATTCAGAACATTTAAAAGGAGAGAGAGACACACACACCCAAGCCCATGCTCCGTCCGACATTCAAGAACAATGGCTTCAGCAAGACCTGTGGGATCAGCGGAGATTTGCATCATTTCAGCTTGAGCGACAATAGCCTCCAGTAGGGCTACAAGATTAATGCGTTTGAGAGCAGAAACTTCTACAGCTTGGACTTCACCACCAAGCTGTTCCACCAATACGCCATGAGTGGCTAGGCCTTGTATGGCACGGTTCTGAAATAAAGAAAAAGAGAATTTCATCAGAAAATCAGAAGAAGAATTAGAAATAAACCAGGCTCTTTTCCCTCGGTTGCTGTTGGTTACATATTTAACATTGGATATCTTCGTTAATAATTAGCTTGTAAGAAATTTGCCGCAGACTTGAGGATCGCTAGAACAGATGGCAATTTGAAAGATCAACTGCCCTAACGGAATTTTTCAACCAGAGGATGTCTGAAGATGAGCTTTCCATTTCCATACAAGCAGTGATAGTTCAATTTTTTGATCTGGAGAAGACGTTCCAAATGCGAGGGCGTTTTGGATGGAGAAACTGGCTAATATTGAGGTGGTTATGAAGAGGACGAAAAATATCGTCCACCCAATCATAGAAATTAACAGGCTAATAAGGAGAGGATCTTTAAGAAAAGGCAAAAAATTTTCGTCTACGAAAAAAATGTGGCAGTCTTACCAACGATGTTTAAAACAAAGCCCCAACCTGTGTGCATTTAAGAGGCAATAGTTGATCAAGAATACTTAAAGAAACTATTTGTCTAGAATTCGAATTGTCCCACAAAGGTGAAACCATGTGGGTTAACTAAAAATTTCCCGAATAGTTCAATACAACTACAGGAACTGAGATCGCGCACCAAAAAAACTCCCATTCAATGTGCAATTCAAAAACTGCTTAAGGATAAAACAATCAAAAGGATTAAATTAAAATGGCTCACCACATCCACACCATATTTGTCAATTTTGTTGATGGCCACAACTAGATGAGCTAAAGAGGGAGAAACAAGAAAATTATTTGATTACCATGTTTAGAGCTTATGAAATTTCAAGAATATGCGGGGCAACACGCACGCACACACACACCTCCATACTCTTTAGCAAATTTAATTGACTCCACTGTCTGGGGCATAACACCATCATCTGCAGCAACCACAAGGAGGACAATGTCCGTCGCTTTCGCCCCACGGGCCCTCATGGCTGAGAAGGCAGCATGACCGGGAGTATCCAGAAAAGTGATCACTCCATCGCCCGTTTGACCCGCGACGATTTTGGTCACTTCGCTGCTGTTGGACGCAGCTGAAGCCACTGCTTCAGCAACTGAAAGAGAAAACGCCGAGAGGTGTTGTGTTATTCCACCGAATTCTTGGTCGACGATTCGAGAGGATCGTAAAGCATCTAGAAGAGTGGTTTTCCCATGATCAACATGTCCCATTATTGCTACCACCGGTGGTCGTGGAACACAGACACACGGGTCGGCTGGAGGTCTTAAAAAGGGAGGAGTATAGCAAAATCTTGGACCATACCTTGGGTAAACATCGAATACATCGCTTGTTGAACTCTTCTTCAAATCCAGAGGCGTCTTTCTCGAAACAAAATTGGGTCTATATCCGAGGAGAGACACAAGACCTGTCAAAAGGTCCCGATTTTCAATCGCAGTGGTTGCATTAACCCGAAGTGAACCCAGTAAACCTGAATTGACGGAACGGATGATCGAACTAAGAGGACGTTTAGTGAGCTTTGAAAGTTCGGAGATGCTGATACCATCCCAAACATCAATAGTGGGAGAACTTTGCCGGTTGGCGGATTTTACTGACCGAGATTTAGTCTAATTAAGATTCGATTTCATTACCAATATTAAATCACCAACCTTCGATGAAAAGGAGAAAGAAAATACATTTAAAGGACTAAGCACTTTGCAATGTAATCGATAGGCACTTATTGAAGACTTGAAGAACATAATATCTGTGCAAATTTAAATCATTCGTCAAATACCTAAAACTAAATTGGAATTTCCGAATTACCGAGAAATTTCAAAGGTGAGAAAAAAGAACAGATATGGGAAAATAGTTTATTTTAAAAAAGTAAATAATTTTTTTCATTTCTGCATTTGTAAAGCCTTCTGCCTGTGGGAAGGAATACTGCTCTCCAACAGCAGTTGTTCGCCTGAGATACAAACCTCTTCTGGAGTAGGTTTCCTGCTAAAATGTGAAATAAAATGAGGTAAATAAGACGTCTTTCAAAGCCGATCAAGATAGTTCATTTAGAAAAGTTTTAAACAAAGAAAAGAACGAACTCTACTTGCAGCCAACTAGGAATTTTCCTCCTTTTAGGGAGGTAATCAGCAGGAGGAGAAACCTCTTCGACTGGAAGAAGGATGCAAACATCAGAACCGAACGGTATGTCGGTCATAACAACATAGGCTGGTAGACTCAGTTTATTTAGTGCGCAACTTGTATGGAAATATTAACCTTATAAATATTTGCTGTTCAAAATTTATTTGTTTTGTCGGTTATTGTAAATAGTAATTATTTTTCGATTTCCGAATTAGGCTTGATTTATATATAAGAAACCATCAAATCAAATCATAAAAAATCAAAAGTAAGCTAGAATTAGGTTCCGCTAAATGCAATTCAAAAGACTCCTTATTTCCATATTTTTAATATTTCTTATCTAAATTAAATAAGACTTAAAATCTCCTCGTAAAGACCTTTGATTAGCATTAAAGCTTTGGAGAAACTTTATTTCTATGCTCAAATTTAAAAGGCAAATCATTAATAAGCTATTATTAAATCCACTCGATTTTGTTTTTTAGGAAATATAATATCATTGTGTTTAGTAGAAGAATAAATTGCATTTTTATCTAGGAATATGAGAATATCCGCATGGGATGTTATTCCAGAGTTTTTCGGTTCGTAAAATGCGCTTATTATCAATCTGATCATCGGTTTCATAAGAAAATGAAATTATATTTTTGGATCTTAACAAATTATTACTTAATGTTAATATAGACAACACCCATATTGACTAGGATTTGCAAAATGATGACCCAAACCCAATAATTCAGACTCAATTTAGGATTTTCTCACTCCCTATTGGTGCTTCTAATCTTCGATTTAAAGCATCGCAGCATCAAATCAAGTGTTCGGCTTGTGTCACGAGGTTCCGCAAATAATAGTGAAAAATATTTACGAAAAGCGTGAATGAATCTGATACAGAGCGAGGTAATACTTATAATTTCAATCCACTCGGTCTACAAAACATTTTGCAAAATACAAAGAATTTATTGTCTATTTTTTATATGTATTATTTGAAATATGCTTTATATTCTCTTTTGATTTAGGTAACTGATTAATAATGAATTGAGCAAATGGACGGGCGATTACCACGATAAACTTTGATTAATTTATTGATGGTAGACTTTTAGAAGATGAATATCGCATTATGATGTACACTGGTATAATGAGAGTGCACAACTGCATAGTTAAACAAATTCATGGAATAATTTGCTTGGATAAAAATGTTGTAGATATAATATAAAACTTGGAATCTCTATAGTAGATGTAAAATGAAAGCGTTTGTATTAGAAAGCGACTTACTATTCTGAAACTGCTTGGACATTTTTGAAAAAAATTTCTTAACTTTGGCGATAGCATCTTAATTTAGCACAACGATAGTTGAGAATACACTTACTGAAACACTAATTACAATATAAACAGGGACAATAAGACTTCAATGACGTTGACGAAGGAAAAATTTGAGAATATATACATAATTATTCTGAGCTGTATTGCTTATGGGGTTACTTTTCGAAAATAAATGCAAGATTTAAATAGCTGAAAATATTCATTGCGATAGAAAACAGTTAGCACTGGTTATAGAAATAGGAAAACAAAAGAGTGTATTTTGATATTCAGCAAAACCTGGCCTTTGAAAAGATAAGATAATTTTGTAAATTTCATTATATTATCTAATAGCCATGAAATGAGTTTAGGGTATTGCCAACCAGGATTTTTTTAATATGCATCAATTTAAAATATGGATTTTTACTGTTGTTCACTTATAATTTTGATTAAACTTGAATTTTTCAAAAAATTGTGGAGTATTAATTTTTCTATTAGCCAAATATTGACTATATTTATTTAGATATTGAAAAACCCATTAATGACGTAGTTCACACTTGCAAAATATTGCCAATAAAATAGCTACTAAAAGTCAAATGTTGGAGAACTTTTCTACATTTATAATAAACAATATTTCTTTCGCTTATAAGAACGGAACTCATTGTCTCTTCGTCAGGGATCTATAATATATAAAATAAAAATATTTAAAATTATTTATTTGTTTTGAATGGTAAATAAATTAAAAGATTTTTTTGCTTCTAATGTTATCATAAATGACCAAGAAAATGTTTATATAAACTAAACGAAATTCGTCCTACAATATGGGAATTGGCGTCCAACTTTTCAATTGGTTCAATTATAGCTACTAGGAAACTATCAAAAAATCATTTATTATAATTTCTTCAGGCAGGTTCGTGCGGTTTTTCTGTCCCAGAATTCACATTATTTTATTCTTTCTAGCTTTGTACTTTGTGCTCTATGAAATCATTTGTTCATTTTGAATAATTATTATTATTTTGTGTAAGAAAGCTTTTATTATATGTATTATGTTTTATCTTTTATGTAGCTGGCATATTGTAAGTGGTTCGCTGCTAATCCCCATAAGTTTGATCCCTATAATTTTGATGGCTTTCTCTTTGCCACTACAATCAGCAATTTCGGTGCAGCAACCTTCGAGAAACCTGTGAATCAGCACGGGTTGCAGCAACATGCAAATCGCTGTGGCGTGGGTTCCTGGTTAAGCTATGTGTTATCGGTCGAAGCATGGCGCTATAACGGCCTGGTGTGCTACCTTCGAGAGCATCACAGCAACAAGCAAACTACAACTACACCAAATACTACTCAACACCACAAAAACACATTCAAATAACTTTCCTCCTGACCGCTTAACCACTCGAGGATTTTCGTCTTTCGTACCTTTGAGCATTTACCGCTGCCTCCTTCTCTTTCTCCTCTTATTTGCACATATTCCAGGTTTGGTTACGGCCCAACTTCCTTCCAGTATGACGTCGAAATCTGTCGGATTTAATAAAATCGACTACTCGGAACCATTTCACAATAAGCACGCTTTCAGAAGAATGCGGGTTAAAAAGAAATTTAGAGATCGGCATCCCTGGACGCCAGATTTAATCACATATGTCTGTGAGGAGCTTACAGATCCCTGTGTACGGGCGTCATTTTTACGGCGACATGTTGAGCATGAAATTTGTTTCGATACACCCCCATTATACCTCCTTCCCCATATTGATGGCCCAAATAATGCGGTAGGAAGTGGCTATCAGTCGCCGCCGTCGTCTTCCCAGCTATGTGATACGAAAGAGGTGGGTGTGCGCCGTTCTGATGGACTTTATCGAAAGTACCTCGAGACACCGGAACGTTGTCGACAAAGTCTCGAGGCTTTGGATGCCAAAATACGCTCTACGCTCAATCAAGATTTGAATAACTTTCTGGATATACTTAAACGCTCATTCTGTATTCTTGCCAACAGCACGGATGATACCATGCAGGAGGAGTGTGAACAATGTCGGGTATGTTATCACCTTTTGTATTTAATCATTACATAGATTTCCCAAAATATAACATTATAATGCCCATCTCATAAGTGGAATTCCTGAATTGTTACTTGAAGTCTCTTACCTCTTAGTTGGTAAAACTGTCAGACGTTCCAATTGGTTCGAATCTGTAACCTATGCGTTACCGGACGTGCGCTTTGCCAGTTGCTCTATTTTAACGTCGAAAGAACCTTAAGAATATGCTAAAACGGGGATTCGATTGCCTCTTTCTTAAACGCCAATTTTTGTTAGGCAGATCGCTTTGTGGGGGGTCTAAGTTAAGATGACGAATTGTTTTAAGGCTTCTCTCTCTGTGTGTGAATTAAAATTAATCTTATCATTTAAGGATGTTTTGCAGGGGAGGATAGTTTGGGTTTTGGGGGTTAGAGAAGTAGAACGAGGGGGTGAAACCCTGCATTTTCATGCCCATTTCCCTTCTCCCTCCTTTATTTGGGCCAATCAAAGTAGAGATAGGAAGGCCAGAGTGTGATCGCTGAGTGCTGATAGGTTGCTGCATCATCGCAGCAGAATTGTGTGGAGTCGAGTTGGGAAAAAAGGGAGCATTTTGGGTTGGCTGAGGGGAGGTGGAAAGAAGGTGGCTAGTGAGACAGAGAAAGAAAAGGCTATCGTCCGTAACCCACTTCTCCCCATTTACTCTGCGCGCAGCATGGTTTCTGCTCAGTCTCTTCTTTTGATAGCAAAACCAACACGTAGCCAGGCTGGAGCTATCTTATAAACGAATGTCAAAGGCCAATTTTATTTTCAAAATTTGTTATAAAATAAGGGTGTTCGTCGTTGAGTTGAGGAGTCAGTCATTCTTTTCTTTTACTTTTTTTTCATGTCCTATTTCAATCATCTTTTTCTCACCCTCATATTTGGCAAAGAACTGATTTCTTCCTAAAAACTTGTTCCCTCCACTGATGAGAACTTGAGCTGCGTTCTCTAATAGAATCTGGGAGTTAGCTAGTTGAGTTTGAACTTTTGTGCATTTCCAGCGAAGTAAAACCCTTATGGAAATATTGACAGCTCAGTGCCTTCAGAATTCAACTATTGCAAGACGGAATGTCCTGACTTCAATATTCATTTTTTTGTTGTCACCCCTGCTGAATTTTTATCGTTAATCCATTCCTTTGCTATTGCCTTCTTTAGATATTGAAAATTAATGAAGGCAGTATCTAATGTCTGTTTCATTAATGTCCTCATCACGAATAACAGTTTTTTAATAAATTTATATTTTTTAAGTTTGGATTTTGTTTATTTCAGTTGGAAATAGTAACGGGCGGTGATTTGAAACAGAGTTGGAGGCTTTCTAGATGTCACTTTTCTATTCGTCTAGGTCTTGGAGATGAATTTCATTGACTTGCACATTCCTTGTTTATCTAATTGCTTTGGGGTTAATTTTTTTTGCCTCAAATATTACATGCTCTCTTGCTTTCTATTGTTTTTTCCCCAATTCGATTAGTTTAACTAATCATCAATAGAGGCCTTATTTATAGTAGTAAAATATTCTAGTTTTGAAGTACTAATTGTTTTAATATCTAAGTTAAGGAAATTAGGAAATATTGGTTCTGACATTCGTGCCTATTCCGCGTTTTAGTAATATTTTAAGGTGGGCGTTAGAAGAGGCGGTGAATTACTTTCATATGAATATCCAATGATACTTTTTTTTAACTTTCAAACTATCTAAGCCTAATTTGGCTCACAATAGGCGCATCCTCTTGGCAATTTTACTGTCGGTTAAATGCAATTTTTTATTAATATCGGATGATCTCGATGAATTAATGAAGTAAGAAAATATAACAATTAACTAAATTGAACTAGTAAACCAAAAGTAAGGATCTCGAATATTTACTTCTACTTTTTACATTTATTGCCATAAAGTTGCAAGTCTTTTAAATATTGCCAATTCATCATCATTATTATGGTAATTTGCTCCTGATGTAATTAAATCCGTTCCTTTTTTAATACCATACTTTGTACAGATCATTAGAATCGTTCAAAAATAGTGGGGACTTCACTTAGACCTTTAAGTTTGAAACAATAGCAATTATATATATATATATCGTCTAAAACCCATGAAAGGTTTTCCCCAAATTAATGCACATTTGGGTGTATGAAATTTTTAAACTTCAACGTCTTTGTGCATCTTCTGTTACAGCCTTATCTGAGGAAGATGCATAATTTGATATGAACCTTACCATATATCCTTCAACCTCTCGTGTCTGATCTGCTGTTCTTTAAGTGATCCGTAATATTTCTAAGGCTTTCATTTAATTAGGAAAAAAAGTTGCCTGTAAAATAACTACAGTACTTCATTTATCCAATTTAAAATTTATTATTAATATTATTATGTTTAAACTCAAATACATCTCAAATTTGACGCCTTTAAGTTTTCCTAATAATGAATATAGAACAGTGATATTGTGTGCCCCGAAGGCTCATAACTTTAAAATACTCTCTTTATTACCGAATTATTATTATTATTATTAAACCTGTTCTTCGATTTATTTCCATTAGCCATGACAAGTAAACACTTTACAAAAAGTGCCTCACATTATCTGATTTCAGGTTCAAAATGTACAATATTTACATAATGGACAGTTTGCTACGTTAATTCCTAAAATTCTAATTCATAGGAGATGGGGGTGGGGGAAGGGTAAGTGGCACGATTTTAATATGTCAAAGGTGACTAGACTGTTGGTGAATTTTAATTTATTGAAGGAAATTATCAAGGCTGCTGATTGGCAAAATAGTTGGAAGTCGAGTAGCGATTTTCAATTGAATTTCGGCTGGCTTAGGAACGTGCGGGTTAGGAGAGGAACTGGAGAAATTATTGCTTGCTGTGGAGGGCTAGCTGGCTGGGTAACTGTGGCTATGTGCTTTTTAGGTCACGGGGTGAAAGTGGTGAAATAAGGTCAAAAAAACCGAATTTCTTCTCTCCCTCCACTTTATTTGTTGGCCACAATTTTGCTATCACAGTATTCCAGTTCCCGGGAAAATATCACTTCTGGAATTCTCCCCCCCCCCCCCCCCCCCCTCCATATTTGGCTTCTTAATAGCCTTAGTGCATTTATCGTTTTGATCGTCTATTGAATTGAACTGTGCTGTCTCACTCGCTTTTATCATATTAGCGTTATAATAACATCGTTGATGGACCTACGATTCCATTTTGTACAGTTTTTTTCTAAATGCCTCGATCTGATTTTCTCCATTTTATTGTGTCAATCCTCCATGATTGAATTCCGCCGCCGAAAATAATCCCAGTAGTTCAATCCTATTTCAGTAGTATATCCACACACATACCACTTTGAGTTGGAATCTACTTTCAAAATGCGGGCTACACGCTTTCCCCTAAGCATAAACCTGAGTGCACGCGTGCTCGCGTGCGTGTTTATCGATTTGTTTGGTGGGGTGATACCGAGTAGAGCGCGACCGGCCGCACGTACGGGTACTTAGACGCATTGGGCGCGGGGGCATTTGGCTCGTGATTTGCAAAGTCATTTTCTTGGGGAGAGGAGGTGGGGGGGGGGGGGGGGGTGGATAGATGAGAGGAGATGGGGTGGGATGGTGGGATAGAATTTGTGTGGAGAATGCGAGTTGGTTAGGCTTTGCCTACCTACCTTCCCTTACCTACTTACTTACGTACCTCTATCCTGTTAGCAAGCCAGTAAGCAGGAAAGCAAACTACTTGACTGGCTAACTTTGTGAGTTGTTGTGTTGGCAGTTTGTGTGTGTGTGTGCGTGTGTGAGAGAGAGCTAGTTGATTTCCTAACAACCTGGCCAAGTTGGAAATGCGGTTTTATAGGAACACTATCGCTGACTTACTTTGCCACTATGTGGGAGGCGCATTTATATTATAACGGAAACACAACTTTCCTCTTCACGTTTAAAGTCGTGTTTTCAGGGCACCTGTTTCCATTGCAAGAGATTGGAGAGCAATCAACTCTCGAGCCTTATAGTTATACGTTAATCATGTGGGCTAGTTTACCAAATAACAGGCCTGCAGCCATTAAATGTAAATGAGCTAGGCCAAGACTGGTAAACGCCCTCTTCTTCTACAATTAGTGTACTTTGACCCAGTTGCAATTAGGGAAATGTCAGTGAATGCAAGCCCTAAGGTCTTAAAAATTAAGCCTTCTTCTTTTTTATTCGCGTAATTACCGTGAAGGCTAAGTTCCCAACATGCGCTCTCGTAATTAGTAAGGAATGGAGTCATTCGAAGAAAGATGTGCTAACGTCTGTTTTTAGTGGCCTAAAAATCCTCGTAGGTATTATATTGAGAAGGGGCTAAAGGTAATTTTTATCAAAAGTGCATTGACTCATAAGCTGTCATTTCGGTCAATTTACGAACTTTCGGATCACTATGATTTGGCAAAAGTCCGCTAGCTTGATATGCTCAGTTCAGGGTTTTTGTCATTACTTTGTGTATGCAGGTTTCGATTTCTAAGTAGATGGGGTATATTTTTCTCAATTCACTCCAATTATTGCAGATCTTAGCACACAAGTTATGTCGCCTCAGCCTCAGCCATTCCAGCTTATAACCGACCGAGCCTAAGGTGGCACCAATTTCATATACCCTGATTACCCGATCTAGTTAGGCCAAAAGATAGACCCTCTAAAATCTAACGATCTTATAGGCCAGTTTGAATCAGAATTCACCAATGGTTTATTGAACAAGAAGTGTGTGGGGAGGAGGGTGGGGG